CGGCCGCCAACTGAATTTAGCTCCATTCAATACCACTAATAAGTAGCAGAGCTCCTTCTAAGAGGTATGAAAATGTTTTCAGCCCCAAACTTTGCATTTCCACTTTTCACAGGACATTTATAGGCTTTTTTGGGACCTATTTCCCCCTGCCAACTCACTGGAAAATATATGGTGTGTATGCCAAATAAAGTATGATTTTTGCAGCTCTCAAGTTATGATGTCTAGCTCAGGGCTGCTCATCTGGCTCTGCTGCCCACATAGGTCCAACCCCAGCTCTCTGCCCCGCTCCTCCTCTTGCCTCCTGAGGCGTGCCAGACTGGGCATCCACAGCCCGGAGTCCCTCTAATCCACTTACCCCATCCTGGCAGGCTTAGTGCCTGCCTGGCACAGTGCGACCTTTGAGGAGGACATGGCAAGCTCGTTACAGCACTGGCTGATTATCTCTTCTGTTGGCAAGTTCTGCCAAAGGCAGGGGGGACTGTTTTGCCTTCAATGTAGGACATGCTTTGAGACATGGTTTAGTGGACATGGTGGCATTGGGTATACCGTTGGGCTTGATGATCTTTGAGGTCTCTTCCAACCATAATAATGATTCTATGCTCCAAAACCCTAGTCGGGAACTAATTTATGTAGCTGATTCAGAAATATAAGTTAGTATTAGGGCAAGCATTTGATGATTAAAATCTGCTCTCTGGTTCTGCAGTGAAGACCACAATCTTTTTGCCAGTCCAAGAGATGGATCTTATTTGTTTACTAAATTGGACATGGCTTTGTTTTCTGAGGCTTGTCCCCACTCTTCACTTGTAGGCAGGGATTTAAAATGTTCACAACTCCAAGTAGCTGCTGCATGGAGTTGGTTTAGCTAACTAAAGAAGGTTTATTGTAGAATATTAGTAACAGAGACAGACTCTTTGTACTGTGCTTCAGAGACTTGAAAATTAATGTCCAGGGTTGCAACAGACCGAAACACAAAGTGGTGCCACCTCAGGACAGTGTGCCCAGTGCCGGCATCTGCACAGACCCTGGGGCAAGACCTCATCTTGCATCCAGGAGAGGCTGACACATCATTTCTCTGCTGTCTATTGATTGTCCTTGTTCTTGTTATTAAGTGAAGCCCATCACTTCTTTCTGAGCCTTATTATCATGGACTAATGATGATCTGTTAGGTTGTCAAGTCGGTGACCCTGATAGTGGAAGAAAGGTGTCATCCTAGTTTCTCTTCACACTGTGACTGGGCCGCATGATACAGAATCTGAAAAAGCTTCCTATTCGTTTGTGCTAATGAAAGTAGTTTATGTGGTTTAATGTGTTCCGTATGTCGTGCTTAGTATTAAGCCATCTGCACTGTGCTTTCTCTTCTAGGACTTGGGTTTGCACTCTGTTATTCTCCAGCCATCGCGATGGTGGGCAAATATTTCAACAAAAGAAAAGCGCTGGCGTATGGAATAGCTATGTCAGGAAGTGGAATTGGTACCTTCATCCTGGCCCCTGTGGTCCAGCTCTTAATTGAGCAGTTTTCCTGGCGTGGAGCTTTACTCATCCTGGGAGGTTTTGTTTTAAACCTCTGTGTCTGTGGTGCCTTGATGCGGCCTATTGCTCTTAAGGAGGACCGTAAAACTGCTCCTGAGTTTCTTGAACAGGATTATGTCCCCAAAGCACAGAAACAAGACTTAAAGCAAATGTCCGTCTGTTCACCTTTAATCGAAGTGTGGTCTCATGAATGTTTGTGCTACTGTTCTTGGAAGGAATATGATTTTTTACTGATGCCAGGCTTCATGGTGCTGGCAGTGTCAGTTTTATTTATGGCATACGGCTGTAGTCCTCTTTTTGTCTACCTAGTGCCTTATGCTTTGAGTGTTGGAGTGAGTCATCACCAGGCTGCCTTTCTCATGTCCATACTTGGTGTTATAGACATTATTGGCAATATCACCTTTGGATGGCTAACAGACAGAAGGTAATGGCTTACGGCTAAGCAAGTGTAAGCTTTAGTTGGTGGGAGGCTGGATGCAAGTGAGGTATAATACATATAAAAGTTAATATTATGGACTTTTCTGTAGCATGTGTAACTTCAAAAAAAAACCCAAACCAACATGCAGTCTAGCTTTCAGAAATGTTTACTATTCAATGCTTTTGTCTCTTCTGAGTTTGTTCAATTCTGATGGTTTAATTTCTTTTTTTCCTGAAGAAATTATGTGTTTGTGCAAAGCTCTTGCATTTGACAGTGGAAATGTAATCCCCTGCCTGAGGTATGTTAGCATGATCCTCTGTACCTGTTTCCCAGAGGATCTCACTCTATTGCTCTGCCTTTCCATCTCTTGTGCTGCTGGAGAGGCTTGGAAGTTATGGAAAAGGGTCAAGGGTCTGGCCCAACACTGTCAGGAACATACTCAGAAGGTCTGACCTAAAATTGTTATACATTTTCCAGTATGTAAGAACTCTCCATTCTTTGCGAACTCAACTTACTCCAAACATCTGTGTACAACATCTGTAACATCAGTAGAGACTGGCTAAATTAAGAAGGATTTTGATTCTAAAGGACACATTCTTTGTGCTTATTCAGTTTGTGGGAAAAATCAATTATTGGTTTTGTGAGGCAGGGAGAAAAGGAATCGCCATCTTGCGCAGCTCACCCTAACTCCATTGTTTAAGGGCTGATGCAAAGCATGACAGCTAAGAGAGGTATACTGTAATACTTCTTGCATAATACTGGGAGCACCTTGCTGAGCTGGGATGTAAAGCCTAATGGAATACTGCTTTGAACATTGAAACTTCAGAGGGCTGCAAAATCCTGGCAGCAAAGCGGCTCCCCTTATTAGAAGCAGCCTGAAGAACACTGCAGGCAGCATGGGCTGCTGCTTAGCAGATGTTTCTGCAGCTGTGGGTGGG